GGCTGGACACCCTTGCCCCGAAGCCATTCGGGGTCTTCTGAGGCGGACCCTGGAGGATCCCCAGCAGGCGCAGTAGCAGGAGGCTCGAGAAGAGGGAGGACCATATCGTGGGACTCTTCCTCAGGAACATCTGGAACCGCAAAACCGTGGAAGTCAACAGACCCCAAGTCGAGTTCCTTGAGGGAGTCAACTCCCACATTGTCACGGGTGCCCGCCGTGGCCATCGAGGCCGACATCTGGGCCGAAAACTTGGCCGCAAGCCTAGCGATCAACTGGCACCCTTCGACACGTTCAGCATCTGCCGTTGCGGCTCTCGCTAAGGCCGTTCCTTTTTCCGCGAAGCTATCTGCATCATTGTTGCCGTCACGGTCGAACGCCGAGATCTGATCACGCTCAACAGCAATGGCCGACGTGTGGGCCTCGACGTGCTCGAAAGACCGAGCACACCAATCCTCTCGCAAATGCACCTGCCTCCACAGGTGGGCTCGCGGGTTGCACGGGGACGTGGACATTCGGGGCGATTGACAGCAGCTTAGTGTACCTTCACAATCGGCCCTGACTGAATACAAACCCAGAAGGCTCTGGGAACACGTTAGCATCGCAAAATCTTCTCCATCTCGCGTCGTGCCCGCGATTCCAGGAGGAGACGGAGCAGGAGGAGGAGGGGGAGGAGGAGGAGGACGAGGACGAGGACGAGGACGGGGACGAGGACGAGGACGAGGAGAAGGTTGAGGAGGAGGATGAGGAGGAAGGAGGCGGTGGCGAGGAGGAGGAGGAGGAGGAAGGAGGCGGTGGCGGAGGAGGAGGAGGAGGAGGAGGAGGAGGAGGAGGATGAGGAGGAGGAGGGAGGAGGAGCAGGAAATGGAAAGGGAGCAGGAAGGATGAGGGAAAAGGGGTCGTGTTTCTCGCGCAGCCCGTACCAGCGTGCGCGCGTGGGGCTCTCCGCCCCGCGGCGCCCCGGCGCCCGCACCCGCTCCCCCACGCGCGGCACGCTGGGAATGGCTGCGCGAGAAGAACCCCTCCCTCCTCCCTCCTCCCACTTCCTCTTTCTCCTCCTCCTCCTCGCCCCCGCCTCCCTCCCTCCTCCAGCTCCTTCTGCTTCTCCTCCTCCTCCACCTCCTCCTCCTCTCCTCCACCTCTTCCACCTCCGCCTTCTCCTGGTGCTCTTCTTCCTCTTCCTCCTCCTGCGTTTCCTCCTCCTCCTCCTCCTCCTCCTTCTCCTTCTCCTTCTCCTCCTCCTCCTCCTCCTCGCGCGCTCGGGCGACAGCAGGCCTCTCTGGCGAGGATCTTTTCCGAGATGTGCCAGGCGCTGGCCTCGATCCACGGCCTGGGCATCGTGCACCGGGACATCAAGGCCCGCCAGGGGCCTTCCGCCGCCCCGGACACTGCACTCCTCGAAGACACAACACATTCCAGATGGAACACAGACACAGCACAGAAAATATGGGGAGTTGAGGGAGAGACGAACATCCAGGAAAGCTTGGGAAAATATGAGAGATCCTGGGATTTGTGGCTATTTAGTTGTGTGTCCATGCGCCCCTTCAAAAGACTGCATAACCACAAGCTTGCGGAGCTCCGCGCGGACTTCTCGGATCTGCGCTGGACCCCCTTGGCAGCGCCTCCAGCGCCGCCCCTGGCGCGCTCCGCGGCGTCAGGGAGGGGGGGCCCAGCGCAGGTCCAAGAACTCCGCGCGGACCTCCAACAGTTTTTTTAATGCCGTATGTGCACTGGGAAAGGTCCGAGGATTGATTCAGAGCGGCTTCGGTTGGCGGTGCGCACGGGGGGGTAGGGAGAGGGGGGACAGTTTCTTAGCAGGAGGCCGAGTCTTAGAAGGCGCGGGCCTCGTCTACAAAGGGACGGCTCCTTCTAAGAAGCAACCTCCTCCTAAGAAGTTTCCCCCCCCCCCCCCTCCCCCCTCTGCGCGTGGCCGACTCAGAGAGTTCTGTGCTGACGTCCTAGAGGATCAGCACGTTGCGGAGGCGCCAGGGCTGAGGTCCAGACGTGGGCCCTCGGGCGAATGGCAGGTGCTGCGCCTGTCATGTCCCTCGCACAGACCCCCCCCGTGCACCGAAAACTGCCCGGTGAGGTCCCTAATTACCCCCCTTGTGCTGTGCGCGCCGCCAACACCCGCAGCGGCTCGGATGTACCTCTGCCTCGCACTTCGCGATCTCTGGCCGGAGAACTGGCCGCCTTTCCTGGAGGGCCGCGCGGCCGCGCGTGGCGGGGTGTCGCAGTGCCGCAGGTGCGCCCCCGCTGCCCAGATCACCTGCATGGGCGCGAAGATCCTCCCGCCTCGCGCCTCGCGAGACTCGAGATCAGCCCTTCTCCACGGGGGCCGCGCGGGAGAGCGCGCGCAGATGCAGTCCATCGAAGAAGGATACTCACACAGAAGCATAGACTTCGCTGGCAGCGCGTCAAAAGTTTATGGGTATGCCGTTCTTGGTTCCACTGATGCAGTCAGCGCCCATGGTAAGGTCGATTGCCGATCTCAAGGAATCCCTTGCACCCAGGTCTCCTTCGCCCATCGTAAGCTAATCCTTCGCACAGGGCGCTTTCACGTGGGCGTTCAGGAGACTGGCACCCGTCACGCGCATCCCTACCACACGCGTTGACTGCAATTACTCGCGCCCTCGCACGTCGCGAGAACGTGAAGCCAGGTGGCCCAGGTCACATCCACGAGTCCAACCCATTTTTCCTCTGGAGGTCTCCAGGGGCCGGGGGCCCCTGGAGGCCTCGGAGGCCCCCAGAGGCCTCTTTGCTCGGAAAGGGCCTAAAACGTCAAAAAGCGTTCAACCTTGGCTCCTCGACCCTCGATCCTCGCCTCCCCCCTCCCTCCCCACACTTCTTGCGCAAGGGAAAAGGGGGGAGGTGACTGCGGGGCTGGACGGGTGTGGGGGTCGTAGCGAGAGTCTCGTGTACCAGCCCTGCTTCTAGTGTGTCTTCTTATGCCTGGCTTTGCAGCGCCTGGCTACGATTTGCGTCTGGCCTGGTCTTGTATTGTCATGTATTTCGCCTCGCCTTGAGGACGAGCAGAAGAATTATCCTTTCCCTTGCTCACCCGGCCTTGCCTTTATCATGACCTGCTTTTAAGATTCTTGCGTTGCCAAGCTTGGTTTCCGCTGTCGTGTCTTGCTTGGCCTTGTTTGCATGTCCAAGCAATGCTCTGTCGTGCTTTGCCTAGCCTTGCTGTGCCATCATCTAACCCCCATGCTGTGGGTTGTTTTCCCTCATGGTGCGTCTCTGTGTCTGACCCTGGTTTCTTCTTTTTCATGGCCTGCCAGCCCTCTTTGGGCAGGTTACGCCTCGGCTCGCCATATCCTGCCTGGCATTACGGTTCTTGTCCCAGTCATGTGCTGAATTTCACCGCCATTTCCAAACACGTTTTTTTAGGAGGATGCCAAGCCCGTGCGGAATAGTAAGTCCACACGGAGTGCTCGGTCTCTGTCCAGGCTGACTCCGTCTGGATTCGGCCTCTGCCTGGTGGGATGCCGAGTCCGTGCGGAGTGGGTCGTGGGCGAAGCACATGCCACATGTCTGTATCCGCGGCCTCGCGGGCCCGGCCCCTGGGCCGCGAATCCCGCAGATATTGGGCGCTTTTTAGCGGATGCCCCAAGCAGCACATATCCGTGTGACCGCGATTCCGCGGGATCGCGCCATAGAGCCCAGACCGCGAGGGCGCGGATAGCGAGGGCGCGGATACGGACATGTTCGCTTTTCGTGAGTGGGTCCGCACGGAGTGCTCGTTCCCCGTGCGGACTTACTCCGTCAGGACTCTCGGCCCTTCCTGAGATCTGCGCTGCCTCGCAACGAATCCGTTGACGCCCTGGATGCACTGTACTGCCTTGGCGTCTCCTGAGGCATCGTCGTTCCTCGACCCAGGACCGGCGTTACGGTACGGTGGATAGTTTTGCGGCCCCCGAAGCCGAACAATGGTGCACCGTGCCACGCTGGAGTGTGGCCTGAAATGAGTCCAGACACGGCACGGTGCCTGGGCGCCTGCCTCGCAACGCATCACCTCACGGCTGGCTTCCCGTGGTTTGCACCGCAGCGCCGTGCCTCGCCCGGCCCTGCCCCTGCTCTGCCCCCTGCCGTGGGCTGCACTCTGCCCCGCCGTGGCCTCTGCCCCGCGGCGCCCTGCGCCTCGCCCCGCCCGCCGCGCCAGTCGCGGCTCGGGGCCCCGCGTCCCCGCGCGTTGCGCTGCCCTGCGCTGTCAGCCCCTGCTCGCCCATCGCACCCCTGCCCCTTTTCCCCCTCGCCCCCGCCCCTCCCCTGCCCCCCCGATCCTCCACCCGTTACCGCCCCCCCCACCTTTCCTGCGCCACCCTCCCTCCCTCCCTCCCTCCTCCCTCCCTTCTCCCTTCCTCCTTCCCACCTCCGTTATCCCCTCTGCCACGTTTCTGCCCCCATCGGTATACTCCCGCGTCCTCCCCCCCTCCCACCTGCCCTCTGCCCCCCCCGCCCCCCCCCGCCCTCCCCTCGCTTCTTCCCGCCTGGAGCTGCAGGGCTGAGGGGCTCGGCTGCGCGCCAGAGCCTGCGCGCTCTCGGCTGCTGGCTCTGCGTGGGGCTCTGTGCCGCGTTGCCCTCCCCCTCCCCGATGCCCCGCTCGCACCGTGGTGAAAGTTCAGTCCAGCAGGTCCGTTTTGCCCTCGGTCTGGGTCGGGGGCTGCGGTTCGCAGGCAAGACGGAGTTTCAGTCGCACCCAGGGCGACGATTCACAGCCAGAGGGCCGCGTCGTCGTGTAGCAGCAATGCGGGCAGCACAGACGAGGCTCCGCGAGCTCTCTCTCGCTCTCTCTCCGCCCGGGGTCCGCCGCGAGCCGGACAACTTCCTCTGCGTGGGGGAGGCGTCCACCATAAAGCTGTGCGACTTTGGGCTGGCGGAGGGAGAGTCGCGCGGCGCCGCGCTGCCGCCAAGGAGGAGGACAATGATGATGATGATGATGATGATGATGATGATGATGATGATGATGATGATGATGATGGTGATGGTGATGATGATGATGATGATGATGATGATGATGATGATGATGATGATGATGATGATGATGATGATGATGATGATGATGATGGTGATGCTGATGCTGATGCTGATGCTGATGATGATGATGATGATGATGATGGTGATGGTGATGGTGATGGTGATGGTGATGGTGAGTGAGGAGGAGGAGGAGGAGGAGGAGGAGGAGTAGGAGGAGGAGGAGGACGAGGAGGGGAGGGAGGAGGAGGAGAAGGAGGAGGAGGGGGGGGAGAGGGAGGGTAGTAGAGGGACGGAGGGAGGAGGACGGGGATCCCCTCGCGTCTCGAAAAGGCACAACGAGACGTTTTCAGCAATCTTCGCCTAAGATGGCCGTCAAACAACCACTCAGGACGAAGAGCCAGTCCCGGCGAAAGGGTCGAGACATCCTGGGCTCCACGTTGCGAGAAGATCCTGACCCCGGAGGTCTGGGGAAGCTGCGCACCGCCCTGAGCGCGGACCGCGCCGGCCGGGCGGCCGAACTGTGGGCCGCCGAGGCGGCCTACAGTTGTGTGGGGGCGCTGGCCGGCGTTTGCGGCCGGCTACCGGGCTGTCGTGGTCAAGGGGTGTGGCTGCGCGCTTGACAGACAGCGTCGCCGCGCCAGGAGGCGGAGGAGGAGGTTCAGGAGTTGGAGGTGGAGGGGCAGGGAGATGAGGGGAAAAAGGGGTAGGAGAAAGAGGAGGGGGATGAGGAGCATGAGCAGAAGGGGGAATGGAGGGGTGGGAGCAGGATTGGAAGGAGCAGGAGGATCAGGGAGGAGGAAGAGGAGGAGGAGGAGAAGGAGGAGAAGGAGGAGGAGGAGGATGAGGGAGTGGAGTTGGAGGTGGAGGAAAAGGAGGAGTACGAGGTGATGATGATGATGATGATGATGATGATGATGATGATGATGCTGATGCTGATGCTGATGCTGCTGCTGCTGATGATGATGATGATGATGATACTGAGGATGAGGATGATGATGATGGTGATGGTGATGGTGACGATGGTGATGCTGATGATGATGCTGATGATGATGACGATGCTGATGATGATGATGGTGATGATGATACTGATGATGATGATGATGACGATGATGATGATGATGATGATGATGATGATGATAGTGAGGATGAGGATGAGGATTATGATGATGACTATGATGATGATGACGATGATGACGATGATGATGATAGTGATGATGATGATGATGCTGATGCTGATGATGATGCTGCTGATGATGATGATGCTGATGATGATGATTATTATGATGATGATGATGCTGATGATGACGATGACGATGATGATGATGCTGATGATGATGATGGTGCTGATTATGATGATGATGATGATGCTAATGATGTTGATGATGCTGATTGTGATTATGCTGATTATGATTATGATGATGATGCTGATGATGATGATGATGGTGATGATGCTGTTGTTGTTGATGATGATGATGATGGTGATGATGATGATGCTGATGATGATGATGATGATGATGCTGCTGCTGATGATGATGACGATGATGATGATGACGATGATGATGATGATGATGATGATGATGATGATGATGGTGGTGGTGGTGGTGTGATGATGATGATGATGATGATGATGATGATGATGATGATGATGACGATGACGATGATGATGATGATGATGATGATGATGATGATGATGATGATGATGATGATGATGATGATGATGATGATGATGATGATGCTGATGATGATGATGCTGATGATGATGATGATGATGATGATGATGATGATGGTGATGGTGATGATGATGATGATGATGATGATGATGATGATGATGATGATGATGATGATGATGATGATGATGATGATGATGATGATGATGATGATGATGATGATGATGATGATGATGATGATGATGATGATGATGATGATGATGATGATGATGATGATGATGATGATGATGATGATGATGATGATGATGATGATGATGATGATGATGATGATGATGATGATGGTGGTGGTGGTGGTGGTGGTGGTGGTGGTGGTGGAGTGATCAAACAAGAGGGGAGCAGTAATTAGGGCCCCCCCCAGGAGGCCAACATGGGGCCAACACCTTAGTAACACTGATTTTGGCTTCCTCGCCGAGGCCGTTTTGGCATTCTCGCCGAGGCCTGTTGGAGCATCTTGGGTGCTTCTGGGGGGCCTCTTGGGGCCTCTTGGGGGTGCCGGGGGGCCTCTTGGGGGCCTCTTGGGCCCACCTTGGGGCCATCTTGGGACCTCTTGGGGCCTCCTGGGTGCTTCTTGGGGCCATCTTGGAGGAGATCGATCAAACAAGAGGGGAGCGTCACTTAGGGTCCCCCCCCCAGGAGGCCAAAACAGGGCCAACACCTTAGTAACATCAATGATGTTGGCTTCCTCGCTGAGGCCGTTTTGGACGCCTTGACGACTCGCGACCCCCCCCTTCCAGGTCCATGGGGAGGGGGTAGGGGAGGGGTCAAGACCCCCTTCCAGTCCGCAAGCCGTCTCGCTCACTCCCACCCGCCCTCCCAACACATACGTAGCACCCGAGTCTGGCCCGAGCCTCAGCATATTCAGCAGTCGTCTTTGGATGGGCAGCTACTGGGGGCCAATCCGCCGCCGCCGCCGCCGCCTCCGCCGCCGCCGCCGCCGCCACCGCCGCTGCCCGCCGCCGCCGCCGCGCCGCGCCGCCGCCGCTCGCTGCGGCCACCGCCGCCGCCGCCGCCGCCAAGTGTACTCTGTATTGTTTTTGACAGGGATGGTGGGGGGTGGGGGGGGGCGCATCGGGTTGGCTGCGCATGTGCCGAATTTGGAGGCAGAGTGTGTGTTTGTATTGTTTTTTACAAGGTGTGGTGGGGGGGGTGTTGTCATGGACTTGGGTTGGCCCCCGGTCGCCTTGGGGAGGGGGTGTTTCGTAATAGGGAACAGTTATAAACCCCTCCCCGAAGGGGAAGAAGGAGGGTTGGAAGCGGAAGCTCCCTAAACCACCGACGCCAAGAGGGCTGGTGGGATTATGCAACGAGCCCGTCGCAGGCGCCGCTTTCTTAGGTAAAGCACTGTGGGTGGCCACGGGTGGGTCCCAGGTGGGTCGGGGGGGTTTGCGGTTGGGTCGCGGGTGGGTCGTGGGGTGGGTCGCGGGTGGGTCGCGGGTGAGTCGCGGGTGGGTCGTTGGTGGGTTGAGGAAGGGACGACAACAACCGCGCAACGCAACACAACGCATCGCAGCAACAATTTCAACAAATAACATTACCAACAAACACCATAACAGCAGCACGCAAACCAACAACAACAACAGCAGCAGCAACAACAACAAGCAGTGTCCGCGTCGCCAAGTCCCACTCCAGCCACGCACCCAGAGATCTTGAATGATCGTTCGGCCCACTCGCTCAACTCATATTGTGCTGTATCTTGTTCGCTTGGATTCTGCCCCAGTGTGGTACATGACAGCCTGCTCTGCTTTGTGCCAGACTGGTCGGCGTGACGTCGTGCCGCCTGCCACAGCCACGTTTGGTATGTTGTTTACTCGGTCGTTGCTGCTACCGTTAGCTTATGTGGCCAGCGTGAGTTCGGCGCGCATGTTGCGTACTAGAAGGCGTTGTTCGGTATTTGTTGTTTTCTACTTTGTGACGTGTTGTTCGGTTCTGTTGTGTACTATGCACATGTGGGTTGTTTATGTTGCTCGCGACGGGTCGGCGTGACGTCGTGACGCCTGTCACGTTTTAGATGTCGTCCAATATGTATTTTTTGCGCCTGTTGTTGTCCTCTTGCCAGCGTGACATCGTCGTGGATGCTGCGCTTGGTTGGGGGCCAGTAATCGGTTGTTGTATATTACAGTATGCAATTGTGTTGTACCCTATCATGTTCTAATATGTTAATATGTTCTGTGTTTAGCTGTATTCTCGACGGGCGGGTGTGACGTCGTGACGCCTGACACGTTAGATGCGTCGTCCACTCGGTCGCTGTTGCGCCTGCCTGTGCGGCCAGTCTGACTCCGGCGCGCACGGCGCGTTTGATTGCAGTAAGGCTTGATCGATCATGTTGTGATATTGTTCTTCAGTGGTGTTTCGCTGTCGTATGTCAAGGTGTAGTATGCTTGTTATGATCAGGTCTGGCGCAAGACGACTGTTCATGTTATGTTGTGCTCTTCTGTTATACTCTATCATGCTATGCCGTTCAAGCTATACTCTGTCCAGAATGACATGTCATTCCCTGGCAAGGTTGTGGCATACCTTTTCCATGTTTTTGCAGTGTACGAATTCATACCATATGGCATATTTGTTGGTGATACTGGCCGAAGTAGTACAACACGTATGCCAAAGTAAGATGATGATTGTGTGTCCTGTTCGTGACGTGAATGTGTGGTATGTTATGGCATGTCATGGTATTGCCCACCTCATGTCATAGTCGACGGTATGCTAGGAAAAGGCTACGCTATACTCGTATGCTGGTCCGCAGTGCCATGAAATCCGTTGCTCTGATAGTATGACCGATGTTTCGTTCTGCTATACTCTGTTCTGTCGTGCTGTGCTGTGGTGTGCTCTATTTGGTTGTTGTATGCCATGTTGCCATGTTTTAAGCCATGTCGCGCTACGTCAGTGTATGTGCTCATTCTACGTTATGCTATGTTCTGTGTCGCTGCGTTATGTTATGGTATGGTATGCCGTGCGATGTTCAGGTACGGTATGTTATGGTATGGCTCGCTCTGATAGGTTACGTTGTGTAATGATATAGCATGGTATGTCTTGTCGGCCCCGCCGTAGCATGACCGTGTATGATATGCCATGCCGTGCTCTGTGATACCGTGCTATTGCATGCTCTGTTCTACCCTGCTATGCTCGGTTATATTGCTCTGGTCTGTCGTGGTATGTTATGGTATGCGCTGTGTGTTGTTGGTTGTGTTCTGTCAAGCTCACAGGGGCAGGAGTCTCGGGGATTCTCGGTTGACCTGGGGATCGTGGGTCCGCTGTATGCCGAGTTGGCGGGTGGGGCCGGGAAGGGTGGGAGTCTCGGAAGCTCGCGTTGGACCTTGGCATCTGGCGGCCGCGGTATGCAGACTGGGCGGGTTTGGTAGGGAGGGGCGGTAGTCTTGGTGATTCTCGGTGAACCTTGGGATTTGGCGGCTGTGGTATACAAGGTGGGCGGGTCGGGGGTTCTGTCTTCACAATCCAACGGCCCCTACCTGTCGGTTGGGGAGTCAAGGTCGCAACATCTTGCTAGATCGCATGTGCATCACATGACTGTGCGTGTGTGTATGTTCGTCGGTGGTGATTGTCAGGGTGGTGATGATGCTGATGATGATGACGATGGTGATGATGATGCTACCTTTCCTGTTGCTGCAGCAGCTGTTGTTTGTGATGGCAAGGTGGATACTGTTGGCTAAGCCGAGCATGATGTTAATGATGCTGTCGCTGCTAAGGCTGATGCGCCTGCTGAATGTGATAATTTTGTGATGGTGATGATGATGATGATGATGATGATGGTGGTGGTGGTGGTGATGATGATGATGATGATGATGATAATGATGATGATGATGACGATGATGATGATGATGACGATGATGATGATGTCTGATGATGCTGACGATGCAGCTGATGATGCTGATTATGAGGATGATGATGCCGATGCCGATGTCGATGTCGGTGATTGAGCCGATGATGCTGACGATGATGTAGATGATGATGGCGATGCTCATGGTGACGACGACGATGATGTTGATTAGGATGACGATGGCGAGGATGCTTGTGTTTATGATGATGGTGACGATCATGCTGCTGCTGCTGATGCTGATGATGATGGTGATGATGATGGTGATGGTGACGACACCGACGACGATTACGATGATTAGGATGCACATTCTGATGATGCTGCTGCTGATGATGATGAGGCTGACTGTGATCATGGTGGTAGTGATGGAGATTATCCAATGAAGACGAGTATGAAGACCAGGAGGGTGAGGAGGAGGACGATGAAGAGCAGACGGATAAACATGCGGAGGAGGACGATGAGGACGAGGCCAACGCCCCTAGCTGATTATTGTGGTTCCTCGAAGCCGTGCCTGCCTCTTGGCGTCTTTTGAGTTTGGATTAGGATGCTAGCTCGTTCCATCGCTGGAGCTCCTCCGCTCTACCATGCTTCACCTCCGATCCAGGCCCTTCCTTTCCAGCCTTCTGCCGCCTCATTCCCCTCAAGCATTTTTGTCGCTTCCCCGATCTGTTCACTCCTCAAGCCTCACTTCTTGCTCCTCATTCTTCATCCCTCCTGATTCTAGCCTCCTGAGTCCTGAGTATTTCTCATCTTCCCCGTTCTGCCTGCTCCCTGTCGATTCCCCATTCGCGCAGATACCCCCCGCCGCAACCCCTGACTTCTGACAGCTCCTCGGATTCCGCATGACCCCCCTTGCCACATTCTTTCTCCTTCCTTCTCCTGCTTCTCCTTCGCATTCTCATCTTTCTCGTCCTCCCCCCCTTCTTTCGTTCCCTCTTGTCGCCTCGTCCTCCTCCTGGAGGCCAGGTGGGTGCTGCTCCAGGGGCTCTGGTGTGCGGGTCTCGCCCTCTGCCGAGGTTCGGACCAGGGGCTCACCGGCGTGTACGGTACCGCGCCGTTCATGAGCCCTGAGATGCTGAGCGGAGGGGAGGGGGAGAAGGAGAACGGGGATGGGAGGAGGAGGAGGAGGAGGAGGAATCGGGTCTGATGCAGCCTCCTAGGTCGCCCCCCGCCCAAAAGGGCGCGAGTGGCGCGTCTCACCCCACCCGGAACTCATAATAATAATAACATTAATAATAATGATGCTCATAGTTATGAGGACGATGAGGATGGGTGTGCTGTTGTTGATGACGATGATCATGGTGATGACGATGGTGCTGCTGCTGATGATGATTCTGACGATAATGATGATGATGGTGGTGTGGTGATGGTGGTGATGGTGATTTCGACGACGGCGGTGACGACGACAATTAATGATGATGACGCTGATGATCGTGATGATGAATGGTGGTGGTGGTGATGATGATGCTGATGCTGGCGATGACGATATCGGAGAGTATATGATATTGATGAAGAGTCAGGTGACGTTGATGCTGATGCTGATGCTGCTGATGACGAGTGTGCTGGCGGCGATGATGCTGCTGCTGGTGATGATGATGATCATGGTGGTGGTGTTGGTGATGATGAAGATGGTGGGTATAATAATAATCATGCTGCCCATAACATTGATGTTTAACCATAATGATGGTCACGAGCAGGATGATGGTGCCAATGATTTCATGGTGGCGATGATGAAAGGTAACGGTGATGATGATGCTAACGATGTGGGTGGCTGATGCTGCTGTTATTGGCGATTAGGGGACAGACCTGGATGAACATGCATAAGGTTGCGATGCTACAGATTATGAGGATGCGGCGATACCTGGCAACGACGATTATGATGATCATTTGCTGATCAAATTTGTGGGGCTGATTGTGATGCTGCTTCTCACGGCGATGACGACGACAAGGATGAATATGTAGATTCGATGATGATGTTGATGATATTGTTGCTGATGGAAATGGTGATCATGATGATACTTATAATGATAATGATGACGACGATGATGATGACGATGTTGATGATGATGACGATGCTGATTACGCTGACGTCACGGATGGTCATGCTAGGGATGATGTTGTTGTTGATGATAGTGGTGATGGAGATGGTGTCGACCATGGCAATGGCAATGTTGATGATCGTCATGGTGATGATGTTAATGATTAGTCTTATGATGATCACGATGTTGCCGACGGTGTCGATGCCAGTGCCGGTGCGAATGCTGATAACTACGATGATTATGATGCTGCTGATGATGCCGATGATGACGATGACGATCACGACGCTGACGGTTATGATGATGCTGATCATGATTATGGTTAAGACGACGATGATGATGAAATTGATAATGATGATCTTGAGGCAGGTGCTTATTGTTATGATGATCGCCATCGTGCTTCTTCTGGCTGTTGTGGTGGTGACGATGTTGCTGCTGATAACGCTGGTTGCGGCGGTGGTGATGATAGTTGTGATGGTGATGGTGGTGATGATGATGATGATGATGATGATGATGACGACGATGATGATGACGACGATGATGCTGATGATGGTGAAACCGATGATGACGATGCCGCTGATGATGTTGATGATGCTGCTGCTGATGATGATGAGGATGATGGTTATGATGATCATCATGATGATGGTTCTTTTACGATAATAACGATGCTGATGATGCTGATGCTGATGGTGATGATGCTGACGCCAATGTTGATGATGCTGCTGATGCTGCTGATGATGATGAGTATGATCATGAAGCGGGCAATGATGCTAATATTGATGATGCTTATGATGATGATAAGTCTGATGCTGCTGTCGATGACGCTGTTGATGATGATGCTGATGATGATGCTGACGACGGTGATGATGTTGCTGCTCATGATGATGATGGTGATGCTGATGCTGGTGATGATGATGATGATGGTGATGCTGATGATGATGTGGATGATGATGTTGACACATTGGATGGTGATGACGATGATGATGCTGATGCTGCTGCTGCTGATGATGAAGCTGATTATGATGACGGAGGTGATGACGACATTGATGATGAAGATGATGATGATGATGATGATGATGATGATGATGATGATGATGATGATGATGATGATGATGATGATGATGATGATGCTAATGATGTTGATGACGCTGATGCTGATGATGATGCTGATGATGATAAGTATGAGGATGATGCTGACGATGATGATGCTGCTGATGATGATGATGCTGCTGCTGATGATGATGATGCTGATGATGATGATGATGGTGATGCTGATGCTGGTGATGATGATGATGACGATGATGATGATGATGATGATGCTGATGATGATGATAATGATGATGATGAAGATTATGATGATGATGATGATGATGATGATGATGATGATGATGATGATGATGATGATGATGATGATGATGACGATCAGGATGAGAAGGAGGATGAGGAGGAGGGGATGGAGAAGGATCAGGATGAGGAGGGAGTCGAAGGCGGGGGGCAGGGAGGCATGGGGGGAGGGAGAAATGAGGAGGAGGAGAAGTAGGGTTGATGATGAGCAGGGTAGAGCAGGAGGATGGTGAGGATGATCCAGACGAATATGAGGCAGGAAGAGGAGGATGAGGAGGGGAAGGAGTAGGAGGAGGAGGAGGAGGAGGAGGAGGAGGAGGAGGAGGAGGAGGAGAAGGTGGGTTGGGAGGGGATTGTTTGGAAGACGGAGTGAGGAGGGGATGGAGCGATGGGACGGGAGGGGAAGAAAGGGACAGAGAGGATGAGCATGATGGAGGAGGAGGAGGAAGAGGAGGAGGAGCAAGAATAGTAGGAGGGTGAGGAGGACGAGGATGAGGAGAGGAGGAGGAGGGGAAGAAGTGCTGGGAGAAACACGAAGATGAGGATGATGAGGAGGATGAGAGTAGGGGGATGTAAGGAATGAGTGACAGACCAGAGGGAAGGGATAGTTTGCAGTGAGATGTACAGGATGATGTCAAAACTGATCGGGACATCGATAAACTGTGATGCAGATACGAAGACGGGACACGGCACTGCCCTCCTGAGCGGCTCGTGCGATATTGCAATGCCTTCACCTTGTACGGTCAAAGCCCCATCCGATTCTGGGGGGGCAACGCCGCGCCCATGAAGGATGCCAGCCGGACCCTACAGTTGGGACCCATGCCAAGACACACCGTGCTGGCATCCAGGGTTTTCTGGGTGTCTTGGGTTTCGATGGTTTTGCTGTGGAACGCGCGAGTTTCCCACTCCAAACATCCGTGGACGTCCTGGGGTCTCAGGGTTGGGTTTCTTGTGGAAGGTTTCTTGTGGATTGGCCTCCACTGTAGCCGTTGCTGGGAGGATGATGAAGATGAGGACGATGATAAGAGGATGGGAAGGGAGGCGTGCTGATTACACAGTTCATAATCATCTGTTGCGTGCTCCTGGCAATCCCCTCGCCTCCCCACTTCTTGCTCCATCTTGCCCACCCTACTCGTTTGGATTCTGTGTGGCGTGCGGCGTACATAACGTTCGTATCTCTGGAACATGTTGGAACATATGGGAAGTGGAGGGAAGACGACACTCCCGAACACATTGAATTACGCTACCGAGGAACCCCACATACTTATTTTATGTCACGTGTGTTCACAAACCATGTCACATCCCGCTTCGCCTTTTTGAGCCAGACCAGCCAGACTGACCAGACCAGTCAGATCAGTCATTCCAGCCACAACCAGCCAAAGTAATCAGACCAGCCAGCCAGGCCAATCAAGCAGACCAGCCAAACCAACCAGATGAGTCACTCCAACAATCGTCGACGACGGCGACGACGACGACGACGACGACGACGACGACGACGGCGGCGGCGGCGGCGGCGGCGGCGGCGCCCGGGCCTCCGAGGAGGAGGAGCAGTGGCAGCAGGAGGGAGGAGAGGGATGGTCGAGGGCAGGTAGAGCGGAGAGGGCAGGAGCGCCCCCGAGTGCGACGACGAGGTACGACGACGATTTCGACGACGAGTACGACGACGAGTACGACGAGGACAACGAATACGACGACGACGAAGACGACGGCGACGACGACGAACGCGACGTTGGCGGGAGCAGCGGCATGGAGGAGGGAGGCAGAGGCGGGAAGGTAGAGGGGGGGGCGGAGGAGAGTGAGGGGAGAACGAGAAGACAGGGAGAGAGAGGAAGGGGAGGGAGTGGGCAGGAGACACCGGGGATGGAGAGGAGGGGGGAAGAAGGGAGGCTCCATGCCGTCGCCGTCGTCGTCGTCGTCGTCGTCGCTGTCGTCGTGTTCGTCGTCGTCGTCGCCATTCTCTGGAAAGGAGGAGAGTGGAGAGAAGAGAGATTTTTGCTTGATGCAGTTGGAAAACATTGTTCGGCGTTCACGAGGCAACGGGCACTACAGTTTGGAAAATGATCTTCGGCAACAAGCCTCTGATCACATGTGGAAGAAGGAGCATGTTATGAAAGGCAACCTTCGGCGAAAAGCCTCCGGCAGCGCTCAATAGATAAAACACGAAAACGCGGTCTTCAGCCGAAAGCCTCCGACCACGCCCAAGGGCGCGCTACACATCCCAACCGTGAACTTCGCTCACACAGAGCGAGCTCAACTCGAACGGGGCCTCCGCCCGCCAAATGTTCCACACGCCGGCGGGCTCAGGGTTCCGCGAAGAGCCAGGCCTGTATTCGTAGACATTGTTGCTCAAGCGAGCACGATCCCACTGCTCCTGTGTCCATTGGATGCGAATGCAAGCGTGCGTGTGCGCGGTCACTGGGGCCCAGGCATCGCGGGCGGCACGTGCGTACGCATCCAGGACGCGTGGCCGAAGAGTAATGGCTCAGTCGGCCCTCGTAGAATCAGACACGACGCCAGTCCTCCGCACGTCCTCCCATTCGCGGATGGGGAGGAACGTGTACATGACCACGACGTCGCTCATTGCACAGGAGCAGGGCGCAAGTGGCTGGAGGCCGGGGTGCGTCAAGCGACAGCGCGTGCATAGCGGCCGAGCTCAGGGACCACCGCCTGCACACCCCCTATGGTGTCGAGAAATTGCCACGTCTGCTGTGCCTGGACGACCGTCGTGCATAGCGGCCGAGCTCAGGGACCACCCCCTGCGCACCCCCTGTGGTGTCGAGAAAATGCCACGCCTGCTGTGCCTGGACGACCGTCGTGCATAGCGGCCGCGCTCAGGGACCACCCCCTGCGCACCCCCTGTGGTGTCGAGAAAGTGCCACGCCTGCTATGCCTGGACGACCGTCGTGCATAGCGGCCGAGCTCAGGGACCACCCCCTGCGCACCCCCTCTGGTGTCGGGAAAGTGCCACGCCTGCTGTGCCTGGACGACCGTCGTGCATATCGACCGAGCTCAGGGACCACCCCCTGCGCACCCCCTTATGGTGTCGAGAAATTGCCACGCCTGCTGTGCCTGGACGACCGTCGTGCATAGCGGCCGAGCTCAGGGACCACCCCCTGCGCACCCCCTATGGTGTCGAGAAAGTGCCACGCCTGTTGTGCCTGGGCGACCGTCGTGCATAGCGGTCGAGCTCAGGGACCACCCCCTGCGCACCCCCTATAGAAATTGCCACGCCTGCTGTGCCTGGACGACCGTCGTGCATAGCGGCCGCGCTCAGGGACCACCCCCTGCGCACCCCCATGGTGTCGAGAAAGTGCCACGCCTGCTGTACCTGGACGACCGTCGTGCATAGCGGCCGAGCTCAGGGACCACCCCCTGCGCACCCCCTGTGGTGTCGAGAAAGTGCCACGCCTGCTGTGCCTGGACAGCCGTCGTGCATAGCGGCCGCGCTCAGGGACCACCCCCTGCGCACCCCCTGTGGTGTCGAGAAAGTGCCACCCCTGCCACGCTCTGCCGTGCCGTGCCCTGCGCGCCAGCCCTGTGTGCTATGCTGTGCTGAGCTGTGCTGCGATGTGCTGTGCTGTGCCGTGCCGTGCTGTGCTGCGGTGTGCTGTACTGTGCTATGCTGTGCTGTGCTGTGCAGGTTTGCTGTGCAAACCTGCCACGCCTGTTGTGCCGTGGACGACCCTTGTGGCGTCGAGAATGTGCCGCACGTGCCAAGCCGTGTGTGTGTGTGTGTGTGTGTGTGTGTGCTGTGCTGTGCTGTGTTGTGCTGTGCTGTGCTGTGTGCGCTGCGCTGTGATGTGCTGTGCTGAGCTGCGCTGCGCTGTGCTGTGTGCGTGAGGAGGAGGGGGAGGAGGAGGAGGAGGGGAGGAGGGCGGGTGTGGGTGAGACGCGGGTGCGGCGCGGGTGGGAAGAAAACCAGAACCCCACGAAACATGTGGGGAAAAACATGGGGGATCCTGGGACTTGTGCCTTCTGCTTGTGAGCACCTGGGCCCCTGTGTACACGCACCCTCCAAGTGCAGCAGGCTCAGCCGGCCGCCACGAGAGGCGACGGGGGGAGAGGCACGGGCTACGACAGCAAGACGGACCTCTGGTCCCTCGGCGTGATCATGCGCCCCCCCTCCCCGCCTACCAGCCTCTGATGCCGCTGCGAGGGGGGCCGGCTTTGCTGCTCCCTCCCTCCCTTCTCTGTCTCTCCCCCTCCTCCATGCATCCCTCCTCCCTCGTCTCGCCTCTTCTCCGTCCTCTCGCCCTCCCTCCTCCCCACTACGCCTCTCGTCCTCCTCCTCTTTCCTCCTCATTCTGCATCCTTTTCTCCCTACCCCTTCCTCATCCCCCCCCTCCAACCTCCTTCCATTCCCTTCTTTCCCTTCTAATATTACTCCTCCTTCGTCCCTCACTCTTCTCTTTCTCGCGCCTTGTTTAGTGGCATCTGATCGTGCCCGTCGACTAGCAAGCGACCTGACTATTCAGGAGATGCCTGCCAGAGTGGACCTCAACCGGTAAGTTATCCATAAGGGCTTCGCCCCCTGCCGCCGGCCCCCTCTCTCGGATAACAATGCAAGAGCGAAATCATGAGGCCTTGGCCCCGCCGTGAAGCAGCGTCGGGACTTCACGCGAAGACGATGAGTAATCGGCAAGACAAATTGAGATTCTGATGATATTGTTGAATTCGGTGTTGCATGTCGAGATTACTCGCGTATGCTGTGCAAAAAGCTGTCCTACGAAGTATTGGAAAGTTGCAAATCCCATGTGTTTTTTGAACCTGACCCCGGCGATCTGCGTAAGGGCTGCCACCAAATTTCAAGCCATGTGGCACATCCCATCGTCTTTTCGACCCTGACCCCGCCGATCTGCGTCAGGGGTGCCGCCGCATTGCAGAACTGTTGCAAATCCATGGGTTTTTCGACCCTGACCCGGCCGATCTGCGTGAGGGGTGCCGCCGAATTTTAGACATGTTGCAGATCCCATCTGCGACCCTGACCCCGCCGATCTGCGTCAGGGGTGCCGCCGCATTGCAGAACTGTTGCAAATCCATGGGTTTTTCGACCCTGACCCGGCCGATCTGCGTGAGGGGTGCCGCCGAATTTTAGACATGTTGCAGATCCCATGACCCTGACCCCACCGATCTGCGTCAGGGGTGCCGCCGCATTGCAGAAATGTGGCAAATCCCATGGGTTTTCCGACCCTGACCCCGCCGATCTGCGTCAGGGGTGCCGCCAGATTTGAGGTTTGCTGGTTTTCGGCTCCCCCCCCTCGCGCGGTCAAGGAGCAGTAAGCAGCATAAAGCAATATTGTAACAGTGGAAACTGGAAGCTGGCACTGGTGCAGGGAACAGCAAACCCTGGTCCTACAGCCTGGTGGTCCCACAAGGAGGCCGGCGGATTGCAATGATGATGTGTACCTTAAGTGGTTCAATATGAGCTGTGTGGATGTAAGCTGGTCATGTGTAAGCTATGCGATGCGAGCTTCGTGAGACGCTGTGGGGCGTAACGGTTCATTGTGCGAGCGATGCATTGGCAATTTTGTGATGTAAGCTATGTAGTGTCAACTAGATTGCGCATTCTACCTGGTTTGCGCTATGTGATGTAATATACGCGATGCAATCTATGCTGTGTGTGCGATGTAAGCTGGGCGGTGCAAGCTGTGTGGTGCGAGCCAAATGGTGCAAGAGATGCAGTGTGAGCCAAGAGCCAGCCACTATGCCCGGGGCGCTCGCGAGTCGCCCTGACTCTTGGAGTGCGCAAGCAACGCGGAGACGGTCGCGCCAGGCCGCGGGTCTTTCGCCAGCTCAAAGACAAAGACAAAGTCGAGCCTGCGACTGTCCTGTGGCTTGATGCTTCAGCGGGCTGGCGGCGGCACCGCCTGTCAGAACCTACGAAGCCACCCGGGACATGGCACCGTGGTCCCAAGCCCGCCGCAGGCGTGTCGAGCTCAAGCACAACGGGGTGACGGCTAACGTCTGGTTTCGCGCAGGGGTCGCGGCTGCCACCTCGCGCGCCCGTGGGTGCATGGCCGTCGACTGCGCGGCCAGCAGCCTCCTGTAAATTGGGGAGGTCCTGCGGGGATGTCGTGCAACCATTTTCAAGGCGCCGTCGGGACACCTGCGACCTCTGCGCAAGCCTGTGGACGTGGCCCCGCCATACAATGCTGCATGCCCACGGTCACGAAGACAAGCACGAGCCTGCAAGGAAGCACAACTCACGAATGAGTTTGAATCGCCACCTCGTCGTCGGACACCCGGCAGAAGTAGCACTAGTACGAATGGTCCTTCGGGCGATGCAATTCGCCGCATGCACTCGAGCGGGTAGGAGCTGGGTGCTCACAGGGGCCACCGCGACGCACTAGAGCGCCCTGGGCGCGCGCCGGGTTCCTCTTCGAACCCAGATGTCTCTGGACAGGCATCCAGGACGGTGATGTTGATGATGTTTATGATGGTAGTTATGGTGATGATGCTGCCGCTAATACTGATGATGGGTGTGGTTATGGTGATGCTGATGATGAGTATGCTGATAATGGTGTTTACGACGATGGTGACGAGGATGGTGGTGGTAGTGGTGCTGATGATACTGTGGTAATGATGATGCTGATGATACTGCGCATGCTGTTGCTGATAATGCTGATGCTGTTGTTGACGATAACGATGATGATTATGGCAATGATGATGATGCTGATGCTGATGATGATACTGATGATGATGATGATGATGATGATGATGATGATGATGATGATGATGATGATGATGATGATGGTGATAGTTTCAATGACGACGACGATGACGATGCCGATGACGGTGATAGTGACGAAGAGGTTGATGATGATGCGGACGAAGAGGAAGGTGGTGATCATGGTGATGCCAGTCGTGGTGATGGTGATGACGATTGTGACTGTGATGACGGGGATGATGGTGACGCTATGACGATGACGATGACGACGATGCTGATGATGCTGATGATGATGATTCCGATGCTTACGATGGTGATGATGATTTTGATGATGATGATGATACTGATGAGGCTGATGATGATGCTGATGATGATGATGATGCAGATGATGGTGATGGTGGTAGTGGTGGTGTCGCTGATGGCAACACCAGTCGTGCCGATACCGACGAGGCTGATGACTATGCTGATGATGATGCTGCTGATGCTATTGATGAGGCTGATGGGGATGCACATAGCAGTAACGATGCCGATGATGATGGTGATGATGCTGATGTTGATGATGGTGACAATGGTGCTGCTGACGACGATAACGATGACCAGCTGATGCTGATGATGATGGTGGAAGTGATGACGGTCATGACGATGATCATGATGATCATGATGATCGTGATGGTCGTGATGATGCGGATGGTGGCGCTGCTACTGTTGGTGATGATTACGGTGCTGCTGCGCTACCGCTCATGCTGCTGAACATGATGTCGATATTGACTACGAGTATGTTGATGATGATGTTGTTGTTGTCGATGATGGTGTTGCTTCTTGCGGTTATGACGATGCTGAGCATGGCGATGAAGTCCAATTGATGTCCATGTCGATGTCGATGACGGTGCCGGTGATGATGATGCAGATAATGATGATGGTGATGGTGATGTTGATGATGATGATGTTGATGATGCTGAGCGGGACGAGGAGGATGATGAGCATGATGATGTTGATGATGATGTTGCTGATGATGATGCTGATGGTAATGATGCCAATGCTCATGACGATGCTGATGATGCTGCTGATGCTGAAGACAATGATGATCATGATGATGATGATGCTGATGCTGATGATGATGCTGCTGATGCTGCTGGTGATGCTGAAGATGAGTATGGCGATGCTGATGATCATGATGACGATGCTGCTGCTGATGCTGATGTTGCTGATGAGGATGATGATGATGATGACACTGATACTGATGATGCTGATGATGCAGATGACGATTATGATGATTATGATGCTGCTGATGATGATGCTGACGCTGATGCTGATACTGATGATGCTGATGATGGTGATGATACTTATAATGATGAAGCTGATTATGATGTTGATGCTGACGATGGTCATGATGACGTTGAAGCCGATTGGATGATGGTAATGCTGCTTGTGAGGACTGTGTCTGCAATGGGAATGATGGGGATGATGAGCAGGATGTTGAGGAGAGGGAGGTGGACGGGGAGGGAGGGATTGAGGGAGGGAGAGTGAAGGGCGCGGTGGGGAATGACGCAGGTAGGAAGGGCGAATGAGCGGGGGACGCACGCAGCGCGCGGTGCCTTGCAGACCAGGTACGTGATATGCTTGGGCCAGTTCCCGTACATCCCGGCGAAGACCAGCGCGAGTGCCATGAAGGCCGCACATGGTCGAAGAAGGCAAATGGCATGAACAATAGTTTTCGGAGGTCAGCGCAGATTTCTTGGATCGGTGCCGAGCCACCTTGCCCTCGTCTCTGGCGCCGCCCCTGGCGCGCTCCGCGCGACAGGGATGGGGCTCCATCGCCGATCTGAGAAGCCCGCGCGGACCTCCAAAAGGCTATCGAAGACGCCTACGGCGAGTCACCGCCGCCCCCTGCCTTTTTGAAAGCGCCTATTTGGCCGAACGTTGAGGCAACACCTGCCAAGCTATCGGACCATGTGTTCCCCGAATCAGTTTGGAAAGCCTTCGGGGAACACGTGGGCATCTTGAAGGTCATCTTGGCCTCCTGGAGGCCATTTTGACCCTTTCGGGCCTTCTTGGAGGACGCTTTGGAGAACTCTCGGGCCGTCTTGGAGGCCATCTTGAGCGTCTTGGAGGCCTCTTGGGCCGTCTTGGGGGCCTCTTGGGGCCGTCTTGGGCCTCAGATGGCTGCACGAGGTCGAGGACGACTGTGCTCTGTGCAAAAGCTCGACTTCGATGCGTCGGATGCGAACGAATCATCAGCACTAAAGTGGAGCCCTGAAAAGTGGTAACCTGAATAGGCGGGTCAATACTAGCAAATAAGAAGCCGAAGCGCGCAACTGCCTGGTAGAAGGGCGGCATTCGAGGCGTTTCAGAGGGGGATTCGCCCTTGAGGATCGAAGGAGTTGCTGTCTCTTCGTCGGCAGAAGGTGGTGGAAGTAGAGCGAGTGCGGTTCGGCCGGCCTCGAAGAGGTGCCAACGTGTTTGAACATGGGGTTTACGGAACGGCCCATTTGTGTTTTTGGGGTCTCTCAGAGTCGTCTGGAGTCCTCAGTGAACGAACAGGCGGAGAAGGGGGTGGCATGATGGTGCGGAGGAGGAGGAAGAGGAGGAGGAGGAACAGGTGCAGGAGAAGGAGGAGGATGGTGATCAGGATGAGGATGAGGATGAGGATGATGACGATGATGATGATAAGGATGATGATGCTGTTGATGCTGATGCTGATGATGATGAGGATGATGCTGATGATGATGAGGATTTTGATGTTGATGCTGATGATGATGATGATTATGGTGATGGTGATGCTGATGCTGATGATGATGATGCTGATGATGCTGATGATAATGGTGGTTATGATGATGCTGATGCTGATGATGATAATGATGATGATGATGTTGATGTTGATGTTTGTTGCTGATGCTGGTGCAGGAGAAGGAGGATGATTGTGATAAGGATGAGGATTATGGTGATGACGATGATGTTGATGATGCTGATACTGATAATGATGATGATGATGCTGATGATGATGATGCTGATGATGATGATGATGATGATGATGATGCCGATTATGGTGATGGTGATGATGATGACGATGGTGATGGTGATGAGGATGATGATGAGGATGAGCAGCAAAAGCGAAAACTAACGCCTAAAGGCGAAGGCAAGGCATAATGCCACAGAGACATCTCCTGCTAGCAGGAGGATTCCCCGTTAGCCAGCCGCCTCTTCCCCAGGAGGAAGAGGAAGAGGAGGCGCAGGAGGAGGAGGAGGAGCAGCAGGTGGAGGAGGAGGAGGAGGAGGAGGAGGAGTGAGGAGTGAGGAGAGAGGCGAGTCTCGCGCAGCCCTTCCCAGCGTTCCGAGTCGCGGGCGTGTAACGTTAGCAGGGCGCATGCCATCAGACTGTTGTGCGCCGAGCCAGCCTGCCTGCCAGTGCCCGCGGGGTCCCAGCCGCGGCCGAGCAGGAAGAGACAAGAGGAGGATGGCCAGACTTCGCCCAGGACTCGTCAGCGGTGCTGCCCGTCACCCTCCATTGCCAGGTCCCCCTTCCCTTGCAGGTCCCTGCAGCAGGCAGGTCTTTTCACACTCCGCGAGGCGTCCGTTCGGAAGGCGTCCCCTGGGCCTGCTATTCAGGCAAGACGTCTGTTCAAGATGAGTCTGTTATGAGGCTCTCGGCGCGACCGTGGGGTCTCGCATGCTTGCCTTGGCAGGGCTCATTTCGTCTCCTCCTCCTCCTTCTCCTCCTCATTACGCCCTCCCTGCTCGCCTTCCATCCGTCTCCATTGCGTTGCGCAGTTCTCTACATCCAGGTAAGCCTTGCACAGTCTCAGCTTGCAGGAGTCTCACGGTAGCCCTTCTGTAAACCATGCGCTTTCCACCCGTGTAAGTGAATGTTGGTCAATATCAAGGTTTGGCCAGAGCAGCCGAAGGACTCACAAGCCAGAGCACCATGATGCAAAGGATTCGCCATGGTTTCTGTAACGTTTGGGTGTATTCCAAGCGGATGTGCAAGGCGCTTAGGCTAGAGCCACAGCAAGTCACGATTGGCTTTTCCGCCCGTGTAACTGTTGGAGAGTTGTTTTGCGAACGCGCGCGGAGCCATCGCGATAGTCACACGATGAAACTGACCCACCCTCCGTCCATATAGCCTAGCCGTTGGGAGGACCTGACGCCCGGATCACACAACATGAAGATGTCGCAGGCCAAACGCCTGGCCTGCCCTACTGACACGTCTGGTGGTGCGATGGTGGTGTCACGAATGGTGGAGGTGATGCTGATGATGATGATGATGATGGTGATGATGATGCTGTTGATGCTGTTGATGCAGATGATAATGGGGATGATGGTGTTGATGATGAGGATGATGATGGTGATACTGATGACGATGACGATGACGAGGATGATGATGTTGCTGGTGATGATGATGAATGGTGATGATGAATCCTCATGATGCTGCTGATGATGATCATGCTGATTGTGATAATGATGGTGATGCGGGTGATGATGCGGATGATGAGGTTAATGTTCATACTACCATGAGCTACATACGAGGATGATGGTGTTGATGTTGATGGTGATGCTTCTGATGAGGATGATGCAGGCGACGACGACGATCATGATGATGAGGGGGTAAGGATGAGGAGGAAGGTGGTCCCCCAGCGGTGCTAGGCCGCCATCCTCGTCGGGGTGCCCGCGCCGAGTTTCAGGCCGGTAGCCTTGGGAAGAGGATGAGGAGCAACAGGAGGAGGAGGAGGAGGAGGAGCAGGAGGAGGAGGAGGAGGAGAAGGAGAAGGAGGAGGAGGATGAGGAGGAGGAGGAGGAGGAGGAGGAGGAGGAGGAGGAGGAGGAGGAAGAGGAGAGGTTGTCCTCGGGAAGGGCGAACTACCGCTCCTGGTTATGCCTGGGCCCATTTCTGGATGACAGGTTTGACGACCAAGAGACGAAAACACGAACCTCTGATCGCCGGCCCGCTCTGCATTTCCAGCGCCTCCCTGCGCAGCATCAGAAGTTCATCAAGGTCCTCGGTGGCTGGTTGGCGCATGTGTGGGCCGGTCACCCTGGAAGCGCCCAGGATCGCCTGGAAGCGCCAGGGAATTCCAGGAATTTAGCAGTTTAGGCCTCTTCGAACCGTACAACGTATCCATCCACCCTCAGAGCTGCATGAGCCTTGGGGCACTCCACCTCATGCTGAAGGCACGCTGGTGGATTTTCTGTGATACTGTTTTGCTGGAGGCTGCTGAGTGCTCCGAAGTCGAGGGGTGGTTGTTAGGCGCTCCCCTCGTCAGCGGGCCCACTGCAGGCGGTGAACAGATCTGGGTTTGCCGCCATGCTTTGCCCAGGAGGAGGAAGGGTCAGGAAAGAAGAGGGGGAGCATGTACCGAGTCTTTGTAATCAGCGGTTGGGTGGGAGCTTTGCTCGAGCTTTGGAGTTGACGACTTTACGTTCTTAAGCTCAATCACATCACTCAGCGTCCTCCGGCTGCCTTGCACCATAGACTTGCGTGGTATAGGTTGCACAGCGAGGTTGCGCAAGCTCACTATTTCGGGTCCACGCTAGCAAACATGGGTTCTCTCGGGGCCCACCTGGGCCGTCTTGATGGCATCTGGACAGTCTTGTGGTCATCGTGGTCATCTTATGCCCTCTTTGGGCCGTCGTGGACTTTGGGATCTTGTTTGCCATCTCGGCCTTGTCGGGGCGCTCCGCGACAAATCAGGGAGGCGGTAATAGGGTTGGGCTCGCAGCGGAATTGGCTGCATGAGTACAGCTAGAGAGCACGATCAATCACAATGTGTTCATTACAGGTCTCTTGGAGACAGACAGTCGCTTTACAGACGGAGAGACGGTCAGGCGGTCAGAGAGAGAAAGGCAGAGAAAGAGAGAGAGAGAGAGAGAGCGACAATCTCTATATACATATTCAACAAATGCACGTCCTTTCTCCCGGGGGGTCCCACACCTTCCCGGAGCATCTGCTGAACGCTCGCGGTACCGCGCTTCCCGACCTCCCGGAGAGCACCCAAAACGCTCAAGGACAGCCCAGATGACCCCAAGAAGCCCCCAGAACGTCAAAGAAAGGCCCAAGACGCTCCCAAGCAACCCAGGATAGTTTTCGGGCGGCTCTCCAGGCTGCCAGGAGGCCTCCAAAAGACCTCAAGAGAGCTCCGAGAGGCCTCCCGAGAGCGTTTGGAGAACCTAAAATCGTTAATGTTTGGCCTTCTCACCATTTCATGCTTCCAACGCTCCAAGACTGCCGAAGAGGCCCCCAAGACCGCCCCGAGACCGCCCAAGAGGCCCTCAATACGGCCCCAAGACGGGCCAGGACGGCCCCAAGACTGCCAAGATGAGCCCAAGAGCGGGAACAGGAGGCCTCCAGAGACCTTTGAGAGGACTCTGGGACCCCCCAGAGGCCTCCAACACATCCCAGACCCCTGAGAGGCTCCCAAGAAATCCCCGACGAGGCCCCCCAAACAGCCCAAGAGAGCTTCGAGAGCGGTCCCGAGAGAGCCCGAAGAGGGTAGATCGTTGCTTTCCAGTGGTTTTTGTCGACGCTATTCGCCCTCTCACGTTTTCCCGCTTCCAACGCTCCAATGCCGATGGATTTAAAAAGAAGGAATTCCGGATATTCCCTTTTGTTCCCAACCATCCTGTGGTGTTGGGTCCTCGTTTTGAAGAGACCGTCCCCGCGTGCCTCTTCTCCTCTACAATTACACTCATGTCGTCTGTTAAGAAACTCACTTTTTTGAGCTGGGTCTCAGAATTTCTTAAACGAAAATAGGGAATTCGAAAAAGCTGGGACCAATTTCTTAAGTTTGATCGTTGTGGGTGGTGCTGGAGGGGGGTTGTGCTAGGGGGTTGTGCTGGGGGGTGGTGCTGAGGATCGTGCTGAGGGGTGGCGCTGGAGAGGGTTGTGCTGGAGGGTTGTGCTGGAGAGGGTTGTGCTCAGCACAACC